CCGAAGGTTCCAGTGGCGCAACCCGCATGCATCTCCCACCCCCAGTGCAGCGTTTCGTTGCCCCATAGGGAGCTCCACTGAAGGCCCCACTGGCGCAGCCCGCATGCGTCGCCCAGACCCAGTACAGCGATTCGTGGCCCCATAGGGAGCTCCACCGAAGGTCCCAGTTGCGCAGCCCGCACGCGTCTCCCAAACCCAGTACAGCGTTTCGTTGCCCCACAGGGAGCTCCACCGAAGGTCCCAGTGGCGCAACCCGCATGCGTCTCCCACCCCCAGTGCAGCGTTTCGTTGCCCCATAGGGAGCTCCACTGAAGGCCCCACTGGCGCAGCCCGCATGCGTCTCCCAGACCCAGCACAGCGTTTCGTGGCCCCAGAGGGAGCTCCACCGAAGGTCCCAATGGCGCAGCCCGCATGTGTCTCCCCCACCAGTGCAACGTTTCGTGGCCCCATAGGGAGCTCCACCGAAGGTCCCAGTTGCGCAGCCCGCACGCGTCTCCCAAACCCAGTACAGCGCTTCGTGGTCCCATAGGGAGCTCCACCGAAGACGAGACACCTACAACTGCGGTATTCACAACTGCATATGGCTGGGTTCTTCGCCAGGGTAATTGTGTATGGCTCGTAAGACGGGCCAGGGGCAGTTGCCGGCCGCGAAATCGAAGACCTGATAGTCTCCAGCATGGTATGCCAGTGTGGGTACAACGACAACGATCACATCGATCACAGCGACAACGATAACAACGATACCAGCAATAACAACGATAGCGACATCGATAACAACGAAACTGATGAAACAAACGAGAACGATCACGACGGTACCGATAAGGATCACGACGATCGTTGTTATCGTGGGGGGACGCTGCCAGCCCCAGAGTCAGTGACTTGATGGTCTCCCGTATGGGCGTGGTCTCTCTGGGCTCCCGTATTGTCCCCAGTCTGGCTTTCACCATGGTCGCTGCACGGTCTCCCGCATGGTCTTCCGTATGGTTTTCCGTAAGGTCGTCCGGGTGTGCAATGCAGTATCACGTGTTCGTTGGTAAACAGAAAATTATTTCGAGACATCTGCCGCCAGCGTTCAATATTAGGAAGAGGATGATGTGTCCTCTGGAAGTTTTCAGCAAAACGCCCAGTTCACTCTGCGAACACGTCAGCTGATGCGAAACGGGGAGTTCTTCTAGACGCGTCGAGTAACCCCACCAGTCCATCCAGAAACGATGCCCAGACGAGTTGCCTTGATCAGGGATGTTGAGGAAAATGCAGTGAAATAAAAGGGCGAGAGGAGGATGGAGGAGGAATCGGAGGAGCAGCAAGAGGAGGAGGAGGAGGAGGAGGAGGAGGAGGAGGAGAAGGGGAGGGGGACAAGCTAGGTGCGCAAGCCTCATATCTGATGTCCTGCCCCTTCTTCCCATCCGCTTCAATTGCGTAGATATCCTATCTCTTTTGCTCTCCCCCTCTCCATTTGAATGTCGAGCAGGGCAACGATCCCGAGAGAGTACGCGGTGCATACTATAGTACGGCATAACATGACATCGCGTTGGGAACGTGACTAGGGGGAGGGGTGGCTGGAGGAGAAAGGATAATGAACAGGCGAATGAGGAAGCGGAGGAGGAGGAGGGGGAGGAGGAGGGCGAGCAGAGAGGTCAGAAGCTTCTTGGATGCCTCTCGGAGTCTCTTCGGATGCCTGTCGAGAGTTTCTCGGGGCCCTCTTGGAGCGTTTTGGGGATCTCTTGGCAGTTCCAGGGAGCTTCTTGCGGACCTCAAAACGAACGTGAACACGATGGAAATGAGCACCATAGAAACGAGTCCAGTGTAATAAGCATCAATGATGTGGCCTTCTCGCCGAGGCCTCTTGGGGCGTCTTAGGTGTCTCTGGGGGGCCTCTTGGGGCCTCCCGGGGGTCTCTCGGGAGCCTCTTTGGGGCATCGTGGGGGCCACTTACGGCCCTCCTGGGCACCACTTGGGGCCGTCTTGTGGCACCCTTGGAGGCCTCGGGGGCCATCTTGGGGCCAACTTGGAAGTTGTCAATCAAAGGAGGGGGGCTCTTTACGTGAGGCCTCCCCCCAGGAGGCCAGAATGTGGCCAGCTTTTCCGCTGGTGGGTGTACGTATATGCGGCCGTTTCTGCGCTGGCATGTGCGCGGCATGTGTGGGCCTTCTGCGTTGGATGTCCTGTTGTACACGCGCGCCCAGGCATGTGCAGGGTCATGTGCGTTGTGTTTGGAGCTCCCTTTGTCCGCACACGCCCGCACATGCAAACGAATTTGGGCTGCACATGCGGAGGGTGTACAATTATCGCAGACCTGTCAGCGGCACATGCACGCTCATACCTGTGCAACCTCCCCGCGGATGAACGCGTGGGCCCGCACATGCACGCAAATGCGTTGAAGCACGCGTCCGCACATGCTCGCACATGTCGATGCACATGCCCGCACATGGCCACAGAGTTGCCTTGGATCTTAGAAGTGCCTCACTGGTACCTCGTCGCCTTCGCTGAGCGTCCTGGGTCCTGCCAGGGCCTCCCAAAGCGTCCCGCGACCAGAAGGGGATCTGGTGTTGCACATGCTGAAACAGCTTGTGCGTTTGACTGGCCCGCTGCTGGCGGGAATGGTCCCTCGCCCGCGGATCACGTCTGATGGGCTTGTTTTGTACCACCACCACTACAAGTTGGAGGGGGGAAGGAGGTGAAGGATTATGAGGAGGAGGAGGAGGAGGAAGAAGAGGGGGAGGAGGACCCCCTCCCCCTCCTACTTCTGGTGGTGGCGGTGGAAAGCAGGCCCATCGGCGTCTATGTGCTTCCCCCTTTGTCGTCGTCCAGTGGCCTTGCAGAGCTCCCGCGCGCAGGCTCGGCTCGGCTCGGCCAGAGGAGGAGGGGAGGACGGGAATCAGACGGAGGGGGAGGGAAGCAGAAGGCGAGGGCAGCACATGGATCAGGCGATTGCAAACAGGGATCAAGGGGGCGTGGATTAGCGACGAGTGCCGCTTCCACGGGGAATCGCGGATTTTCTCCGCCGAGCGAGGCGGCGCCGGCCGCATTTTGGGGAGGGCACCTCCCCCGATCCATGGATTTGGCGCCCGCGCGCCAAATCCATGGATCGCTAATCCACGTTTGCGCGACCCCGAGAGGAGGCGAGGTGAGAACATGGAGGAGGACGAGGAGGAGCATGGGCTCGCAACCCGCGCCTCGGAGGGTATGCTGGTGAAGAGCATCCAGGGAGAGGGACAGGAAAAGGAGGTCGAGGTTGAGGAGGAGGCGGAGGAGGACGAGGAGGACGAGGAGGAGGAGGAGGAAGAGGAGGAGGATGTGGAGGAGGAGGAGCAGGAGGAGGCCCGTTTCGCGTGGGACATGCTCAAAACTCAGAGCTCCGAGATGCCTTGGCTCGACGTGATTGGTAGCGATTCGCCTGGGACATCCCTACAACTCTGGGCTCCAAGATGCGGTTCTCAAAGTGTTCCGGCCCGTTTCGCGTGAGGCACCTTCAGAATTTTGGGCTCCGAGATGCTCTGACTCGAAGTGATCTGGCCGTTTTCGCTTGGGACGTCCTCAACTCTGCGTTCCAAAATGTGGTTATCAAACTGTTTCGGCCCGTTTCGCGTGAGGCATCCTTGGACTTCTTTCTGGGCTCCGAGAAATTCTGACCTGGTGACCCGGGCCGATCTGAGAGGGACATCCTCAGCATTCCGGGTTCCAAGGGGCGGATCTTGGAGTGCTCTGCCCCCTTGGCGTGAGACCCCCTCGGGGCCTTGGGCTCCGAGAAGACGGGATCCGAGCAGTTCCGCCGGACCTCCCGGGGCCGCGCAGGGCCTTCCGCCGGCCTCGCGCATCAGAGCCGCGGGCCCGGGCCGGCCGAGGGCGACCTCGGCCCGTGCAAGTTCGACTATACACCTACGGGTGACCCTCTCGCTGGAGTGACCTCTGGTGCGGGCCCAGTGGGGTCCCCCGATCGCCGGAGGCGATGCGGTGGTAGCGTCCTGCGCGCTCGTGTTTGGCCCCCCCGCGCGGCCCCCAAGAAGCCGCGCACCAAAGGTCACTCTTGCCCAGGGTCACTGCTGCGTGCAGCCGGCCATCCGTAGCCATTTTGGCTCAAGCAAAGTTGGTTCACGCCGCCTTGGGCTCTCAAGGCACATTGGTTCACATACGCTCCTACGTTAAGTTAATCCCCCGACGACTGTTCTTCAGATGCAGATGGCATCAAATCATGTGCTCGTCTTGCTCGTGCATGCACTGCTGAGAATTTCAGCAGCGGTGAATCTTGGGCATTTGTCATCCGCGTCGACGGAAGTACCAACGCCAGATAAGTGGCCGACGGCCGCCCCCAAGAACGCGTGGATTTGGAACATGCGCGCTAAAGGCGATACAACTAAGTTTATGTATGACCCAGTCATACTCACATTGGGCGAGGCATTGCGCGATTACGGGGCCAATGTTACTTTCGTGTCCAAGGACAATTTGGGATCGGATGAACACAGAAATACCTTGCTAGATGATGTCACCGCCACAGTGGCACGTGGCCAGAAGCCTCTCATTGTGGCACTCGCTTTTTTTTCACTGGTGTGGATGCACCGTTGTCGATCTTGCGGAAGTGCAGAGATCTTGGCGCGTTTGTCGTCTTCTATCAGTCAGGAGCCTATGACTTCTTCGATTTTCACGAGCATCTCCGTATGTGCGATGGTTTGTGCGGCGAGATCTGGGTTTTTTTGCATGCGAATCTGGACAACTACCCCGAATCTTGGAGACGTGTTAAAACCGATACGTGCCCCCAGGGTATGCGCGGGCCTTGGACTTTGGCGTTAGCGTGGCGAAGCAGGGGGCACACGTGAAGAATATTGCTTTCCTAGGCCAGTGGGGTGTCCGACGCGATCATCGAGGAGCGCCGTCGGAGCCACTGTACCGCGAAGTGTTCGGTACCAAGCTAGTCAGCAAGAACAACATCCATACGGCAGAAGATTTCACTGGGTTCTCCACAGACTATCCGGTGCAATTGGTCACGTACAGGAATGAGAGACTATCCGGTGCAATTGGTCACGTACAGGAATGAGATCTGTTGCCCAAGTACAAATGTTTTGTTGGCATTCCGTATGGCGCAGCTCTTCTCGAATCGAGCCTGCGTCATATCGGCTCGCGCCTACCCGCATGACGAGGAGGAGTTTCAGGGCATAGTGCACTTCGCGGAGCGGTCCCAAATAGTCAAAGTGTTCGTCGAGAAGAGCAGGGATGTCGGCAACTGCCAGAAACAGGGCTTCGAGAAGTTTAAAACCAAGTTCGAGCAGTTTTTGATTTTGAAGGCTCTGGCTTCTTCGACGTCTGGTAACTCTCTAACTCTGGACATGTCGGGCTCTTCTCTTCTCCTCTTCTCTCTTCTCGTCCTCTCTCCCCCTCGTTCTTGTGGTCGTCGTGATATCATGTCCTCAGGGGCCTGCAGAAGCTTCCGCAGCAGGCCCGAACAGGGGTCCATGCTCCAGGATGCCAGTGGCAGGGACTGATTTTCCCTCTCTTTTGTGTCCTGCCGTCGGCTCATGGAGCCAAAGGCGCTTTTGCTTTCTCACGGCCTCTGCTGCTGTAGACCGCGTGTGTCGTTGCGACATACGCGTGAGAGAAGGATGTTGTAAATTCTTGACGCTTCGCGTATCCCCGCCAGCCCATCCAGAAACGATGTCCAGGCAAGTTGAAGAGATCAGGGAAGTGGGGGAGCAACGAGAGGGACAGCCGATCCGTGCAAAGGATGAGGCGCAAGAGGAGGCCAGATGGATAGATGAGGGGGTGGCGAGGAACCGAGCGAAGGAGGGATCAGGAGAATGATGACGCTGGGTGGATGGTTGAATGCCGCTCGGATGCCTCTTGGAAGCCTTTTGGAAGCCTCTTCGGGCGTCTTGGGGGTCTCTTGGCGGTCAATGGGGGCTCTTGGGCGTCTTGGGTGCTTCGGGGGGGCCTCTTGAGGCCGCTTGGGATCCTCTTGGGGGGCTCTTGGGAGCCTGTTGGAGGCCTCTTGGGGCCTCTTGGGGGTCTCTTGGAGCTTCATGGCGGCCTCTTGGAGCCTCTTGGAGGCCTCTTGGAACCATCCTGGGAGCCTCTTGGAGCCTCTTGGGGGCTTCTTGGGGCCTCATGGCGGCCTCTTGGAGCCTCTTGGAGGCCTCTTGGAAGCCTCTTGGGGCCTCCTGGGCGCCCTTTGGGGCCATCTTGGAAGCGATCGATCAAAGAAGAGGGAGGGTCCGGATTCGCCCCGCCCCCCTAAGAGGCCAAAATGGGGCCAAAGCCTTGGTAAAACCTATGATTTTGGCTTCCTCGCCGATGCCGTTTTGGACGCCCTGACCGCTCGCGACCGGCCCCGTCCAGGTCCAGGGGAGGGGGGAGGGGGGAGGGGTAAACCCCTCCCCGAAGGGAAAGAAAGGGGGTGGAAGAGGAAACTCCCTAAACCACCTACGCCCAGAGGGCTGGTGGGATTTCTCGACAGAC